ATAAATATTGTAACGAACCCCGCGTCGCTGAAATGAAAAGCAGCTTGATTTACGACACAATTCATTTTCTTGCCGGCGATCCGATTTTCGCTGCGACAGAGCGCTCATTATTTTCCCGACGGACTGACAATATACATAAAAATATTATTAATACTGTACTACCAAAAATTCCGACCGCCCCAACCCCCTCGTATCAACTGATCCGCCCCACTCGAAGGCCGGAAAAAAAGGATTGGGGCAAAACAACTTTAATAAAACCAAAAACAATGTGGCACAGGCGCCAACAAATGCCGATCCTCAATCAAGTGTCACTTGGTGTTGCTAATAACGTTTCCTCCGGCGTGGAGAGCGCCCAGCCCTCCCGACACGTAAAAACGCTCTTTCCGGGGCGATCCTCAACGTGCCTGGGGGCTGTTGTGACTTCCGAAGATTTATGGGGTTGGAAAAATAAATTTAGAACTCATTACAGTGGGGAGTTACGGAGTGAGAGAGCCTGGTGCAGGGCACAACGGACGTGAGAAATTTGGAAATCCACAATTTTCCTTTATAAGATTACTGTAGCATGCAATTTTTTGGGCTCAACAGGGGCTTCAAGTGTAGGCCTCGGGTCTTGATGAAAAAAAAGTTATTTATTATGAGGTGATTAAAGGAAATGGTGTCTAGCCGAGTTACCAATAACTGTGTCATATAAGTGCCATATAAATTTCTATAAAACGGCCATATTCTAAAGCCGGGATGACCGTTCAAACTGGCTTTATTGAAGTTGGAATGTGAATATCCCGGTTCCCCTTGCAAATCTGGAGCTAAAATTTTCAGTAGTCAATGCAGTGGCGGACCTGATCCAGTGGCAAAAAACATACCATTTTGCATCCCGGAAGTATCAAAAATGCGGCAAAATACCTCCATTTCCAAGCAAAAGACTCCGATTTCAAAAGCGCACCAGCTCTTTTGTGAGGGAACTCTTCAAAACGATGTTTTTTCACTTGGAGAGGGAGGTATTTGGCTGCATTTTTGATACTTTCCGGATGCGAAATGGTACGTTTTTTGCCGCTGGATCCGGTCCTCTACTGTGTGCGCCTTTTGCCCAGATTATGGGCAAAACTTGGAGAAAATTCGAGCGCTGCATTTTAGGTACATGGCCGGCTAGGCAAAAGATATTCTGAACACTATATCTTTTGCTTGGCAAGTTTCAAAAGTCTTAGCCAGATTTCTACGTTAACACAATAATTCCACAAAAAATCAAGTTTTTTTTGCTTGAAAATGGCAGACTTTTGGTCAAAACCAGTCTTCACACTGACGGCTCTCCGATTTCTGCACACTCTTTCTGCGGCAACGATTGTTGAATATCGCCCATTGCAAAGCATGAATTTCTTTTTTCTGCAAAAATATCGCACCAATTTGCTAAAAAAGTCAAGGCTAATTTTGGAACCAGAAGACATCTACAGTTTATATTGCTTTTACGTTGACGTCATGACCAAAAGAGCAACAATTTGAAGGCGGAAACGTTGGCCTGTGACATAAAAGTTTGTTTCAAGATGTTGAAATTACGGTAGCCATCAACATGTTTAAAAATAGTCATTGAACTTTTAAGTCTTCAAAAAAGGGAGGTGTAGCAAGTGGGACGCTCAGAGTTTCCTTCAATTTTGCACACATGTGAAGCCTAGGCCATGTATTAAAGCAGGTTTTGCGAAAGACTCGAGCTTTCAGGTATGCGTTGTGCACAAAAAACAAGATGTTAGAGTGGAGACCTGAAATACCTACCGTATTTCAGGTGTTTACCAGTGTATTAAAATGGGCAGGTCAAATTTTAAATTTTTGGTTTACTATAAGATGTATACTGTAAGATTCTTATATTTTTTGCTTCTCCTCGATTCGTAGCCCGATTTGCTCCTGATCTTTTCAGGGTTATAGAACAAACGTTTTTAAGCAGCTTTCGTATTGACAACTTTTCGCTAGGACTTCTGGCTTCCGCTTTGCAGAGATGGCCGAAATACTCAACGATTTTTGCTGACCATAGAGTGTGCAAAATGCGGAGAACGGTTAGAGAGGAAAAGATTTTCCAGCCAAAATTTGAGCGATTTTTTAAAATTTGGACGTCTCACAGCGAGCCCTCCGCCGTAAAAGTGATTTCCAAGCCCATTCAATTTGAGATCAACATCGCATGACCGAAATCTTTTTTGATTCCTCGGAGCTTCATAATTCAAAATCTGGCATTCGGATTTATGGCTTCTCTGAGGTCGCATTTCATTTCACATCAACTTGATATCCTTCCGTGATCAATTGCACCCCATCAATTGGATTGTGATTACGTCAGTGGGAGGCCATGTGGCCAGAATGGAGTGTCCAAACAAAGGGAGGGTAATAAAACAAATTGGAGAGGTCGCATAATGGAATGGACAGGTGGAAGAATGAGTATTTTCTTTTTCTATTCCTGCAGACAAGCAACATCATTCTCTTGCAAAACGGACGCAATAGACATTCCAGACAATGTTATGTTCCCAATGCCCCATCGAAGGCAATTGTCTGATGCTATCTCGAAACTGAATGATCAGTTCCCTCCATATAAAGCTGGTCATATAAGAATTCAAAATTTTGTTTTCCCAAATCGCGATTTTCGGTGCACAAAAAAGTGGACGCCCAAATCGAAAAATTGGCGTCGACTTATTTTTTTCTCGGCACCGAATTCTGAAATCCGGTAAATTTTTCTAAGTTTTTCGAAATCAGTGCACAAAGTCTGAAGTCTGCACCGAAAACTTATGTGCTTAAGTCAGCACCGCATTTCGGAATTCGGTGCTGAAAAAATTAAATCAACGCCAATTTTTCGATTTGGGCGTCCACTTTTTTGTGCGCCGAAAATCACGATTTGGGAAAACAAAATTTTTAATTCTTATATGACTACCTTTATATGCAACCATTACTTGCAACCCTTTACGAATTGCTTGCCATCCTTTATTAAAATCATAATTGCTTTGATGGTAGTTCTAGTTCTTTTGGATTTGCTTTTTTTAAAGCGTGATCTCGACTTTGGTTTTAAATTGAATCAGAAAACTAAAATCGCGGTAAAAACGGCAAAAGATGCTACAAGGTCAAAATCAACCCAACAGTAATCTAAATAAGTCTCCTGCACCATCCCTGACTTAGCATCAAGGAAAGAAAAACAAGACAACCTCGCAAGAAGCTGTATTTTAATAATTCAAACAAAACCAATCATGCCTTGGTTTTGTGTTTTATTGTTATCGGCAAACCAAATTTTTGTTTCGAGATTCAGAATTACAATTATTCGGGGCCGATCCGGAGCGTTCTGTCGCATCAAAAGTCACGCCATCAAGAAAAAGAATCTTGCCTTCGCTGCACCAAACCCCCCTCCGCGGCTAGCCGTCGCAAAGCCATGCTCAAGATTCGTCCATTTGTTTACATTTTCATCGCTTTCTTTACAAGTTTACTCAAGTTTCCCAACAATTTTGTGCTTACGAACACAACCAAGAACACTTTTTAGATGGTCTTACATTTTTCTCGACCTTCATTTCTCTTCAAGACGCACTATTTTTAGCGTGTACCGAAGTGCATTTCTCCCGCGGAAAGGGCACCTCTGAATTATGTTTGAGAACTCAAGGGCGTTGAATTGGATTGATTACAGCGCGCTGAAACCCTCGGTTGACAGATTCCCGCGAGCCTCTGATCTTTTGCTCTTGGCGGTTGGAGATGAAGGCGCAATGTAGTAACGACGCCTCCGACCCAATCGAGATGTTTTTTTTTGATGAACTCCACAACGGACGTTTGAATGTAATAACCGCGCTTTCTTTGGTGGGGGGCATCGCGAACGCCGGAAATGGGCGACCAACGGAACTGGACTCGAGAATTCGCGGAATGCGAGATGCGGGGTGTATGATGGAGGGCGTGTTGGAGGGCCGGCCGTTGTAATGTGGAGGTTGATGGAACTGCTTTCAAATTGCAGCGCTCCGGGTGCACGCTACACCCGGAAAGCGAAGGACGTTTCGAGAGTTTTGGAAGCGGTGGAAAGGTCAGCGCAACTGATGAGAATCTGTTCTCTGGAAGCAGATTGTGGGGTGAGCAGGTAAAACGCAGATTTTTGTAGTTTGAGCCAACTACAACTACACTTTTACAATATGCGTAGGCTTGTTGGGACCGCACAGTCTTCTCAGGGGGTCGCACCGTGCAAAAAACCCATTTCGCACCGTGCATTTGACACCTTGCATAGTGCAGCCGGAATATCGCGCGACAAAAGACATCCTCAACTTTTCCGAGCGCCACAGACAATTGCACTGAAATGGGACAAAATGGCCCGTGCAAAAAGATGCAAAATGCACCGAGCGCTGAAGAAAAAGTTGTACTATAGTGGGGCACTTGATCCAGTGGCAAAAACGTACCACTTTTGCATGCGGGAAGTATCGAAAATGTGGCAAAACGTTTCCCTCTTCAAGTGAAAAAAAAAATTTCCTTACAAACAGAGCGCTTTTGAAATCGGACTTTCTACTTGGAGAGGGAGGTATTTTGCCACATTTTTTGACACTTCCTGGATTCAAAATGGTACGTTTTTTGTCACTGGATCAGGTCCCCCACTGCGCACTTTCGGGAACGACTAGTAATACAGGCGAAGAAAAGTCTGCGCACTTTATGGAATGAAAACTGGCTTTTTGTCCAAAGATTTATCGGAAAAATAATTTTGAAATTTCTCCCTAGGTCGGTCTTACCGATCGAAAGTTGTCTCGAAAGATTCAGGTTCCTAAAAAATTGACGTGGAGTGCACAAACTGCGACGCTTTTGACGAAATCTGGCACAAATTTTGAAATTTTTTTAATTTATTTTTTTCGACACTTCGAAATCCGCTGTGCGGCGATGCATTTTTGCTGCGACAGAGTGCTCATTATTTTCCCGACAGACTGATATATGCATTATTATTATATTTTCCGCGCACTGTTGCGGGAAATTTTTCCTATCTGTCACACTTTCTTTCTCTGTCTTCTCCAAGACCCAATTAGATGACTCAATTGTACGCTTTTCCCCCAAAACCGCCGACTAATATGTTGAATCGCATTTCCGCTAGCCTAGCCGTCCTTCTTCCGCCTCACTGCGTTTGCCTCCTCCACCCAATTCCTTGCAGCCGAAACGTCGTTGCAGCCGAAGTGTGTGTGCGCGCGCTGAACACCGGAAGTGTCTTCATAAAGGCGACCCGCTCTCGTCGCGTCTTCTGGATGCTTCGACGACATTTCGCCCGGTCGTTGCTGTGTGTTGTCGCGAAGAGTGCGGCTTCCGGTGCCGGAGGCGGTTCGTGGGCGCGCATGATGGATGGCGCTTTGGTCGCGGGGTCGTGGCGGCGGCGACATTATGGAGGATTGGGCTTCCTATTGTCGGCTTCATCGATCACGTCGTGGAAGTGCGCCGACGGCAGCAGACGTTGCCCACAAGGCTCAAAAGTCAAGTCGGCGGAGATCTCCGATTTTTTCGGTGGACGCGAAAAACACTGGCGGTGTTGTGATGGCGTGGATCACGGGTTATTTTGTTGGGAAAGGATCGCGCCGGAAGTCGGCGTTCTCTGGACTCGCTGCACTTCTCCCAACACCGGGTATTTTGGGAAACGGGGGCTAAAAATAAAAACAGATTTGATTGATCGAGGACTTTACGGGCTTGAAGAAAATCGATGATGATTTTGTGGGGAAATGATGACTGTTTTGGGAATAGCACGTATATCGAAATATCCTACAGTAGTTGGGACAGTGGGTCTTGAAAATTTGCGCAATTTATTTTTTTATTTTTTGATTTTTGCTGCGGCAGAGTGCTCATTATTTTCCCGACAGACTGGGAAGTCTATAAATCTACTTCAGGCTTTCATGAGAGCCTTGAAGTATAATAGTTTTTAATTCAATTTTTTGTTCTTTTTTACAAGAGATTCTTTGATTTGAGACCTCTTCTGATCTATAAACTTTATTTTCCGTTTTTTACCACTCTGTCGGGAAAATAATGTGCATTTCTTGCGCCTCACATCGCTTTGCGACGGCTGCCGGGGATGATTTTTTGTGACATATTTTTTCCAATAAATCCACATTATTTTCCCGACAGAGTGGTTATTATTCACTCACTTTGTACTAATTTTCTGTCGGGAAAATAACGAGCGCATCGCTGCATCCATCGCGTCGTTAAGTGAAAAGAAATTTGATTTTTTCATGATACAATTCATTTTTTCACCGGCAATTTTCCCCGCGACGGAGTGCTCATTATTTTCCCGACACACTGATTTATCACCGTTTAACTAATAAACTGCCCTTTGAAACTTTTTTATTACCCCTTTTCCGATCATGAAACACACTCCAACCCACAGTATTACCATCATTACACCTTTATCGCGCTGTTCGAAACACTTCTCTTTATGATCTCTCAAAAAAATCATAGAACGCGAATAGTCCAAAAACGAAGACCTCCAGACCATTTACAACTCGACTGTCGCCTTTCCCAGAACTGTTATGGTATTTGCTGTGCGCGCTTTGAGACCGAGTCTGGCTAATTTATCGTCCTTGAGGGTATAAGGTCATAAAGTTCGGGGACCAGTGACCATTACAAAGTTTTTGCGGGCGCTCTACTTTTTTTACGTTTTTATCAGTCTGTCGGGAAAATAATGAGCACAATATTGCGGCGCCAATCAGCACGGCATTCTGTTATTGTGGGAGGCAATCGATCCCCGCGACTTTTTCAATTTTTTTTGGAATCCGCTTGTTTTCTCGGCTTATATCTCGCTAGCCGTTTGCGCTAGAAGGCTGAAATTTGGCATGGCGGTAGAGTAAAAAGCCGGCTTTCAGAAAATATAGATATTGTAAGGAATCCCGCAGTATAAACTTTCCGATGACAGTTCAAAAAAATCTCATTTTTTAAACTTGCATGATCGTATTGACAAATTTCTTTTTGTCTATGCGTATCAAATTCGAATCTCTATAAGATGGCCAAATTTAATCTTATTGGGGAAGCTACGGGTGGAGTTATGATTAAAATCACAGCGCGTTTTTTGGTATTTTATGAATATTTCGGCCCTTAGGACATCTACAAACCAAATCCGTTGTCCCCCAAAAGTACAGAATGCCGTGCGTCGCTGAATTGAAACGAAATTTCATTATGGACGGGCTGTCAGTCTGTCGGGAAAGTAGCAAGCACTCTGTTGCCGCGAAAATCGCATTGGCTCCGAGAACTACAATGAGGGGACCTGGTCCAGTGGCAAAAGACATACCATTTTACATCCGGGAAGTATCAAAAATGTGGCAACATGCTTCCCTCTTCAAATGAAAAAACTTCGTTTTGAAGAGCGCACTCTATTTTCTTACAAAAAGAGCGGGTGCGCTTTTGAAATCTGAGTTTTTTCACTTGGAGAGGGAGGTATTTTGCCACATTTTTGATACTTCCCGGATGCAAAGTGGTCCGTTTTTTGCGGTCCTCCACTGTAATGAGATTGTAATCAATATGTAATCAAAACTTCGCTACAAATCCTACTGCAGTTTCCAACCGTGTCATATCATTTGCGTAGAGGACGTTGGAACCGTCAAGGTTACGGCTCATGTTGATGGTATTTTGCCACATTTTTTGGTACTTCCTGGATGGAAAATGGTACGCTTTTTTGCCGCTGGATCAGGTCCCCCATTGTATCGTTCTGTCGGGGAAATAATGTGGATTTGTCGCAGCAAAATGTCTCACCCCGTGGCAGTCGCGCATCCAGCTTCGTCTAGGCGTTGCAAAGCGATGAAGGGCGATTCCAAAGGCGTGACAAATGCATATTATTTTTCCGACAGACCGTTATTTTGCAATAGGATTATAATTCCACACAACATATCTGTTGTCCATAATTTTTTCGTAAAAAAATCATAGAGAGAGGGTCATTTCGTACCTTATAGTTAGACCTATTATAGCCAGCCGTCTCTCCTGGCGTCGCCTTCAGCGCGACGACTTGGGCTGTCGTTCTCTTAAACCTTTTTGCGGTAAACACCGATGTGATGGGACCGCTGTAAACTGAGTGACCCATCGGCGCGCGTACGGTACCTCTGTCATGTGAACGCGCGACTCGAGCGAGAAGGAGAGAGAGAGAGAGAGTCAATTCCGGGGGTTTCTATAAACACAACACAAAAACGGTTCGAAATCAAATAAAAACCATGACCGCCGAGGGCCGCCCGAGGCGACGGCAGCGCGCTGAGAGAGAGGGTCATTTCGTCGACGGGTTGGGGCGAGAGAAAACAGTCGATGACGGGCCTGCCTTCGCCTTCCGGTGCGGCGGTTATTTTTAGTCGCTTTTCGATTGCATTATTTTTAGTTTACAGCGGGGAATTCGAAATTCTGCACGAGAATACGATTAGAAGTGGGCTAGTCGAAGCGGAGGCCAAAGGTTGCGACATTTTGAGGCGACAAAATGGCGTAAAAACATGCTTTATTAGTCTGTCGGGAAAATAATGTGGATTGGAATCGCCCATCTTCGCCCTGGGATGGCTAGCTACAGCTGTAGATTTGGCGCGCGACTGCGACGAGGAAAATTTTTTTTGCGACAAATCCACATTATTTTCTCTACACACTGATATTGGCCTGTCGGGAAAACAATGCGGATTCGTCGGGCCTTGAAATCGCCGCGGCATTTCAAGCGACAAATGCCAGTAGAGAGTAAGAAAAACAGCTTAGTTACTGAACAAAAATTAGCCTAGTAGGAGAACACAAATCAGTCTGTCGGGAAAATAATATGGATTAGTCACGTCTTGGAATCTCCCATCATCGCCTTGCGCTGGATAGCCGTAGCTGGAACTATCGACTGCTGACTAGGACTGCAGCGCTTTTTTCGACTAGGCGAGACATTTTCGTTTCGACAAGTCCACATTATTTTCCCGATGGACTCAAAAGAACTCGCACAAATAGACTCATAGTCCATTTGTGTGAATAAGGAAATACCCCAAGCGCGACGCTCAGATTTTCTTTTAGTTTTGCGCACTCATCATGAATAGGCCATATGTGAAATGTTGAAAATGTAGCTCTCGATTTGCCGGGCGGCCAAGATACTCGACTATCTGCCAACAGAGTACACGAAATGCGGAGAGCAGTCAGAGAAAAACACTTCTTAGCCATATTTTTGCCAGTTTCACGCGGAAAAAATTAATTATTTGTGGAAACATTACACTTTACAGTAGAAAATAGGTATGAAACTTTTCATGGTGAAATTCGCGAAAAAAATCCCATATTTTTTCTACTTTCGACAAAAAATGTTTTGTTTTTCCTCTGCAAAGCTTTGCAGATTACATTCTGCTTTAAAGTCATGAGTAATGACTTTTTCCCAAGAAAATGATGACTAACTAACTTTAGTACATTTTTTATTTTTACGTTTTTCGTCAAATTTCCCAAACGATTGGTCTATACGTATCTATTCAGCTATATCTAACAATATCTATTCAGTTTTTTTTTCTGCCGAGAGAGCACACGAGACGTGGAGGGCGGTCAGAGAAAAGAAATTTTTTTGGCGATATCTTTGCCAGTGTCGCGCGGAAAAAATCGATTTTTAATGGGAACATTACCCTCCGTATTCAAAATAGATGTAAAAGTTTTCATGACAAAATTCGCAAAAAAATTTTTGAATTTTTGCCAACTTTGGGCTTAAAAATCTCGGTAGTTTCTGCGAAGCGCGAGCTAAAAGTCTTATATATGTCATAACAAGACTTACTCTAAATTTGTGCCAAATTTCGTCCAATTCCATAAACACGTTTGCAGTTGATCAACCTCTTTTTTTCCAACCCTTCTTGCCCTTTTTTGGTCGTTTGACGTAAAATTTTTGTTATTTGCTACACACACAATGCGCTCGCTTATCAGTTTGTCCTTATACGGTAATCACAAACACTGAACAAAATACAAAAAAACCCCTATAATATATAGCTCCGCCCCCGAACAAGTCTGTGATGTTTTTGCTACACAAAGGTGTATATAAGACGCTTTTGTTGCCGAAAACAGTCTACAATCGGACAATCGACCGGGCGTAGAGGCGCGACTGCATCAGTTTCCCGTTATTGTTTCTTTCCGCCGACTCGTGACGCATGATTTAGTGGCCTTGAAAAGGGGGGCGAGGGTGTGTAACAGCGGTGAATGTAATTGGTCGGGTTGATGGATTTCTTGTTGTCGGATTCTGACAATTGTTGTGTTTTAAACTCACTTCCGCTTCAATTTCCGTTATGAATCTCGTGCGGCATTAAATTTCGGTTGTTGTTTTTCCGCTTTTACATTGCATCTTCAATTTTACGGTGGTAAAAAATTTGCGAATTTCGCACTGTGCGCGAAATTTTAAAGCCTTTAAAACCTTGCGCGAGTGCAGACGTTGCCGGTGGGTTGTGGGCTTCGGTGGGCCCCTCCTTTCCGCGCTCACGCCCTCCGGTTGTAAAGAAGTCGCTTCCGGTCGTCCAGAAACCCAAATCTTCTTGTCATTGCACAGTGCATTCGATGGGGTTTCCGTGTGGGTTGATTTGATCGGGTTCCCTTGGGCGTTGCTCGTGTTTAATTTGCCAATGTCAAAGCCGATTTGCTGTAACATCTCGTGGGGTTGTTTGTTTGTTAACGGCCGTTCCTTTAGTGCTATCATTGAGGCTATAAATAGGGTCGTTTCAACTGGAATTTTAGTGATTTTGCGGCCTATTTCGTGGCCTTATACGTCCCATTTTGTGGCCAGCTACAGTCCATTTTGTGGCCTTATACAAGTCTCTTTTCATTCTAGATACTATAAGGTTACTAGTTGCTAATAAACCGGCAAGTAACGTTGATTGTTTTGCTCTCGTCTTGACTTTGTTTTTCGCCTTCGATCTGATCTGGTTGATACTTTTTTGTGGTGCGATTCCGCCGCGGATCCCCTAATTAGATCGTGTTGATTGATTCGCATGCACTCTTAGTTCGCCATCGCGGACGATGATTCACTTCCGGCCCGTCAAGCACAACCCTTTCCATATTGCACTTGACACGGTGCCATTTCTGGCTTGGGGTAAGAAGCTGAGCTGTCCTTCGTGTCCCAGTCAAATGCACTCTAAAATCGTCGCAGTTTGCCTTCAACGGTTGTTGAGTCGACAAGACGAACATTTGTTTTGTCGACGAACCCCGATTTGCAGTCGTTTTCTCCTTCCACCCATCTTCTCCCATCGAATTCGAACCGAACGGAAGTCCGCGCACCCAATTCTCCTTTTCTCTGTGTTTGCGGCGTGGATGGCGCCGCACTTCCGCCCCCCGAACACGGTCGTCATCAGCCCATCCTCAGGGCTGATGACGACCGCGGCGGCGGCGCCGCTTGACAACACACACTCCGGCGACACGAGTTCGTCTTCACCGACCACCTGGGAGGTCCTCCGGTGGTTGCGGCTGCACGGAAGAGGTGGGCTGCAGCGGCCTCAACGAACCCACTGTTTGACGCGCAATGGGTTCGTTGCGGGGCGTGAAGATCATGTGGCTGATCGCTGTGTTATGACCCTTTTTCTGCTCGACTTCCGTATGTCATCAACGCCGTTTTTTGTGCATTTAGCTCGAACGATCCAAACAACTTCCCAATTTCCTTGATTTTTTGCGCGCTAGCGATCATTGAGTTCAACTTCTTGTCGTATGCAGAGAACCTACCTACCCTTTGCACTTTTACTATGGTTGTTTGCGGGTTTACACTGTGGGTTCAGCCGAGAAAACTGAGAAATAGGGTTTAAAGCCGCCCTTCCTTGCAAGTGCCTCCAGAAAACATTGCATAGTTGCTTGGAAATCTCCGCTATAACCACTATTTCCTTCTGTCTATATAAACTAGTCTCTAATATATATTTTCAAGCCATTTCAAAGCTCTTCTGATCGTAGCCTAGCCCTCCACGACCTTGATATTGCTTTAGATAGCAGAAAAATCTTTTTTTTATATAGTTTGAGCTGTATTGTCATTTTGTAACCATCTTGATTTTTTCCCGATGACCTATTACGCTTAGTGCACTAAGCACTTCCGCTTTTGCAATATTTTGCAGCCTCGGGGCGCCGCGAGAGTTTGGAAACTTGGAGATTTCGCAAGTTCCGGTCTCGGCCCGTTTCCCCCCTCTGACTTTGCGGTAAACAGATATGGTTTTCAAGATGAACACGTGCATTGAATCGAGAGAATGCCTTCCATTTCGCCATCCTCCGCCCACTTTTTAGTCTTTTTATAAATTAAACCTAATTTATGGTTCAATGCAGTCTTTTTTTGGGGGAAACGTGGTTTGGAGGGGTGACAACTACTGTAATTAGGGTTGTCATCACTTTCTGGACCCACTGTTTGCTAGTCTTGCCTCAGGGAACTTTTTGGCAACTTTTGGAGTCATTAAATTTTTGGATACTTTTTGATACTTTTTCGGATTTTTTTTGATTTTTCGCGGATGTTATGGTTCATATTGATTCATGAGGCCTTAGAAACGTCATACTTACTTTTTCGCATCTTCAGAATCATCGCTAGCTCCATAAAATTCGCAACAACGAGCTCCACACTCCTCTCCCCAATGGCCCCCAAGTCCGCCGTTACGTCGCCCGTCCAGAAGTCGCCGCCCTGCCATTTCCCATCAGCCAGCGATCTGGAGGAGCAACTCTCCAACCTCGCCGTCCAATGCCAACCCCAAGAGCACGCTGAGGCAGAGAAAATCGAGCTGAAAACGAGCCGGAAATCCTCCACAGTGACTGTCGCCGATCAACAGCCAAATTCGTCGAAAGCAGAAGAGAGCCGAGACGATGGTGTGTTTAGTCAGAGCATGGTGCAGGAGAGCTTCGTGCTCAGCCAACCGCCGGTGCCCCGGAGACGACAGGCTTCCGAAGGGATGGAGAATCAAAGAGAGAGGGCGTCCACAAGCGAGCTGTTGAGAGCGACGTCAAAAACGTTGCCGTTGCCGCCGAAATCGCAGCTGAATCAGGGTAGGTCGCATTGCTAGATGTTTTTTCTGGCCTTATCTTTTGTGCTGGGTCGATAAAATTAGAGTTTGTTTTTGTAGCCTCCGGGAAAATAGAGCACCTTTTTTTGCTAGTATATGTCAGTCTGTCGGGAAAATAATGAGCGCAATGTCGCTGGGGGGATCGCGTCGCCGAAGTGAAAAGCAATTTTATTTTGCCACGGTCATTTTCTCGGTGGCTATGCGATTTTCGATATGAAAAAATGTTCATTATTTTCCCAACAAACTGATAGTATCTCCATTTTTGTAACTGATATAATTTATTCATTTTTAGACCTCTCAAAACGCGCCTCGCCTTGCCCATCGACCTCATCCTCAATTGTCGATGAACTCCCACCTCAAGTGCCCCCTCGCCGCTCCTCTCGCGAATATGGCTCGCAAAATCTCTACCATCAAACAACAGGCCCCACCGTCGACAACCGATCTCCCTCCCCTCGCTCGCCGGCCGTCCTGAAGACCCAAAACGGCGAAAATATCGCCCCACCTAGGCCACCAAAGCCTCCAGGAATGTCCCGTTTCCCTTCGCTGGCGTCGGTGAGGTCGCCGCTGCCCGCAATGGAAGAGGAGGGCGATCAGAAGGCTCCGCCGCTGCCGCCGAAGCCCAGCCAGAAGCGGAAGACGTCGGAGATGAAAGTGAAAGTGGTGGACCAGATCTACGATGCGCCTCCGTTGCCGCCAAAGCCGGCGTTGAAGCTGAAGTAGAGCTTGTCCAACATGTAATGTCATCGATTATTGATCATCGAAAAATCCTATATTATAGTCATCAAAAATATTTTTCTCCATTTTTCTTTCATTTTGATCACTCTAATGTCCAATACTTGTCAGAGACAACATTTTCTAGTCCTATTCTCTTTCTCACACACTTATAATCATATTTTTTTCTATTACGATACCCAGTCATTCCTATTTTATCGAGTTTGATCAGGTTTCCAGCCCTCAACCCATGTATAATATTGTCTAATACGGGTCTGTGTAGAGTTATGTGTAGATTTATTGCATAATACTCACAATTTTAACTTCAAAGGGTCCATTGTGTGCGGTTCATGTGTCCATATGTATATTTGAAAAAGCCACGAAAAAATGTTGTTAAAAATAAAAATGTTGAAAATTGAGAGGGATGATTGGTAGAAATTTGCTTTTTTGTAAATGCAATGGTAAAATACGACTACTTCTCCTGTGCCAAATAAATTTTACGGAAATTGGGGCAAAGTGTGTGGAATTTGTTGTGGTCCGCACCGTGCATAACAAACCTTCATCTTGCACAGTGCATTTCAATTGTTTTTTTGGTTTTCGCACTGTGCATCGAAATGAGTTTCAGCTACTGACCTTCAGGAAAGTCGCCGGACTGATTTTTGGCCCTTGCACTGTGCGAAAAAAATCAAGGTGCCAGCGACAGCCCAAAAAAGCCTATTGCACGGTGCGAAAAGGAAGAAGTTGCACAGTGCAAAGAAAACTTTGTTTTTCGCATAGTGCATCTCGCCGATCGACTTTCCGGAAGGACTATCGGTCTGTCGGGAAAAAACGGTGGATCGTCGCGCCTCGGAGTCGCTCATCATCGCTTTGCGACTGCAAGCCGCGGCTTGGGATTTGGTGCCCGATAGCGGCGAGGCGAACCATTTTGATGCGACGATCCGCCGTTATTTTTCCGACAGACTGATAGTACGTCGTTGCGTCGGCGACAGGAATTTGCACAGCGTACGGCTTTTTTTTAAGGTGTGCAAAGAGGAAAAAATGCACTGTGCATTTTTCGGCGACACTGCGAAACTACTCGCAACAAAAAAAGTAGTCTCGACAAATTTTCAATGTGCGTTTTTTTTGGTTTTTTGCGGACGTTGCCGGGACTTTTTCGTCGACAAGATTTTCGGAAATTTATAGCGCAAGCAGTAAAAAATCATCACAATCAAAAACTTTGCTACCAGTCTGTCGGGAAGATAATGTGGATTTGTCGCAGCGAAACCTCGTCGCGGAGCTTCCGCGGCAACCCGTCGAAAAGCGATGATGGGCGATTCCAAGACATGCGAATACACATTATTTTCCCGACAGGCCAATATCAATCCGTCGGTAAAATAATGTGGACTTTTCGCAGCAAAGTTTCTCACCTCAGCACAGCCACACCTTTCACAAAACGATGATGGGCGATTCCAAGACATGCGAATCCGCATTATTTTCCCGACAGGCCAGTATCAGTCTGTCGGGAAAATAATGTGTGATTTGTCGCAGCGACATCTCTCGCCTCGTCCCAGTCCCACACCGGTTGCGGCTATCCGTCGCAAAACGATGATGGGCGATTCCAAGGCGCGGCAAATCCACATTACTTTCGTGACAGACTGATAAGCCGAAGAATAATATTTTTGATTTTACAAGGAAAGTAATTTTATGGGGCTCCTCCTTTTTGACGGGGCATATCTCAAAAAATCAGAAAAAATGTGCTGATCAAGGATACATAAATATTAGGTGCCCATTTTAGGTTTTTAAGGGTGAAAACTCAATCTTTTAATATAAGACTTTAAAAAGTCCTTTATAATCCCCTTTCCGCTCAATTTTTCACAGGTTTACAATTTTTATTTTGGCTTCAAATGATGTTTATTGAGTTTCTAAGAATCGGTCTTGGTACAAAAATTTATTTTTCAGACCTTCAACTTCAAAAAAAGTTGTTAGATGCGGCATTGTGCTCATGACAGACTCGTATCAGTCTGTCGGGAAAATAACGGCGGATCATCGCATCAAAATTTCTCGCCTCACTGCTGTCGCGCACCAAATCTCCAGCTGCGATCGCCGTCGCAAAGCGATTATGGGCGATTCCGAGGCGCAACGACCCGCCGTTATTTTCCAGACAGACTGATAGTGAAACATGTTATTCCCCTTCTCAACTCCTTCTTTGCAAAGACAAATTGTCCCACTTGTGACAGATCTTTCTCCCCATTGCTGCAAAATCTCGATCAAAACATGCAAACCACATGTATTCTCATCTTCTTCTTGTCGCCTTATCGACTTCCGTGTCACATTCTTCATCATCAAACGTTTAAACAATTTTTCTTTTCTCCCAACGGAACGCACGTAGCGTCAAGACATGATAAACTGTTTTCAAAGCCTCCAAACCTCACCCACAATCTTCGGCTTGCTCGGACAGGTGAGCAAGGTGGAAAATACTGTTTTTTTCGATTTCAAAATTGGATTTTGTGGATTTGCGCAGTCAAAAAACGAAAAGGAACCCAGAAGCGCAACACCGCTGACCCACAAAGGTGGCGAAACGCGAGCGCGCGAGAGATCGGTGCGCACTGTGCGGATCCGCCGACTCGAATTCAGCCGGTTTTTCTTGTAACCGACACTCGAAAAGAGGCTTCCAGAAGCTTTGAACCGATCCCCAACGGGCTTACGTGGGAGCGGGATCGATTATATTGCCCCGGGGAACGGGATGATTTGTATGAAAAATGTATAAAACATGGTTTTATGGGGGATAGATGATGTTGTAGTAGATTGAAATCCTCCGGAAAGCTTTGATTTTTGACCAGCAATATTTTTTCTTCGTAAAATACGTTTTGCTGGTCACAAAAATTGTTATGATTTTCTCGGGGAAATAATGAACACATTTGGCATTGTGTTTCAAGCTCTATTTTGGCATTGTGTTTCAAGCTCTGTTTTTGCATTTTTTGGCTTGCGAGTGGAAATTTGTGTCTCCCAAAGGCATAAAAAATAAAAATAAAGCCTGTTGAGTAAAAATTTGCCCACTATTTATATTATCCATGACATCTTCAACCTATCAGTCGGTCTGGAAAATAATGAGCACGAAGATTGATCGCGTCGCTAAAGTGAAAGTCAACTTGATTTTGCCGCAACACAGTTCTTTTTCGATGTAATTTTCAGTGCTCACTATTTTCCCGACAGACTGATATACCAGTAATTTCGATTTGATCCAAAACGAGCGCTTAACGAAGAGGGCATTTTGCGAATTTCCCGAATTTCCTTGGTTAGCTGTCAACTTGCCAAAAAAATCCGTCTTATTGTTATCAGTCTGTCGGGAAAATAACAGCAGAAAAATGTCTCGCCTCGCCGCTATCGCTCACCAAATCCCAAGCTTGCAGTCGCAAAGCGATGATGGGCGATTCCGAGGCGCGACGATCCGCCGTTATTTTCCCGACAGACTGCTAGTCCCTTCGTTACCATACCACTTTTTCGAGAAACCAAAAAAAATCTTTTTTCTTCTCTTATCATATAATTTTTCCATTACATATATATGGGCACCCTCTTTCCCAGGTGCCCTCTGGTTTGAATGCCCGTCTCAGATCAAAATTACTGGTCTATCAGTCTGTCGGGAAAATAATAAGCACACTGTCGTATCGCAAATCGCGGATAAAACTGTAATTTCATCCCTTTGATATCGTATTTTCAGCCATGACCCCCCGAAGGCCATGGCCAATCATCCTTTTCCTATTGTCATCATCATGTTCGGCGCAAGGTCCCAGCTTCATAACCAACTACATTGGGGACCCAGAAGCCGATATGACTGTGGTAAGCCCCCGAATTTTTGAATTCTGACATTAGGTTTAGCCGCAAATTATCCGACATTGGGGATATCCGGTGGAAATTCACAGAGTCACCACCAGCGATGGGTACATTCTGCAGATGCACAGGATACCCAGAGGAAAGGATGGTAAGTTGAATGGCTACTACTACTCTTGCTACGTTTTTTTTCAAAAATGCGTAGACTTTTTGTCACGATGCACTGTGCATTTTCTTTTTTTTCTTTGCACGGTGCGAGCTTTTTTTGAAAAAATGTGGATTTTTCGCAATATACGCACCAAATCTACGGCCGTTGCAAAGAGTTGAGCGGCGATTTCAAGACGCGACAAATCCACATTATTTTCCCGACAACTGATATTCCATTTTTTCAAAAGTTCATGGACTTTTCATCGTGGCGCACAGTGCATTTTGCCTTTTGTTTCCGCACGGTGCGGACTTTTCGAACATTTCGCACTGTGCATTTTGCCTTCTTTGCACCGTGCAAAATGTATTCGAGCCATTTTGCACTGTGCATTTTGTCATCCATCGCGTGAAAATGCTTCAGAAAGATCGCAGCGACACTTTTTGAAACCCCTTTTTTTGTCGCGCAATTTTTCGGTTGCACAGTGCAAAATGTCAAATGCACGGTGCAGAATGGGGTTGTTTTGTGCGGTACGGTCCCACGATAAAAGTCTGCGCACTTTTTGAAAAAAGTGTAATATCAGTCTGTCGGGAAAATTATGTGGATTTGTCACGAAATTAAAATCGACTATGGTTTTTCAATGGCTACAAATTTTACTGCGATGAGACAAGAGAATTTGCTGCGAGATAAATCCACATTATTTTCCCGACAGACTGTATTAATAAGTAGTTTTTCGTTTGCTCACATCGGTGAATATCTCAACGTCACAAGACAAGCGCCCTGAAATTTTCAGAACTTGATGATATATTAGGCTGTCGGGAAAATAACGGCGGATCGTTGCGCCTCGGAATGGCTCATCATCGCTTTTTGACGGCTGCCAAAGCTGGGCCTTGGTGCGCGACAGCTCCCTTTTTTCGACGAGGTGAAACGTTTTGCTGCGACGACCCGCCATTATTTTCCCGACAGAATGATAGCCAGCCTTTACAAATCGACCCTGAAAAGGTTGAAGAGTTGAAAAAATAGCTCTTTGGGAAGCCTCATATCAGTTTGTCGGGAAAATAATGAGGATTTGCCTCGTAGCAAAGTGTCCCGCCTTTTTGCAGTCGCCGTTGCAAAGCTATGATAGACGATTTCGACGAATCCGCATTATTTTCCCGACAGACTGATTATTTTTTAAAAAGTGCGGGGACTTTTATCGCGGGACCGCACCGCACAAAACAGCCCGATTCTCTTCGATTCTTCGATCCCACAGAATCCTCATTATTTCCCCGACAGACTAATCTCCAATATCCACTCTTCAGAAGTGAATCCACCGCCCAACAAGCCGGTGGTCTTCCTTCAACATGGCCTCCTCTGCACCTCCTCCGTATGGCTGATGAATCTGCCCCATCAGTCGGCGGGGATGATGTTCGCCGACGCCGGCTTCGACGTCTGGCTGGGAAACATGCGGGGAAATTCATACTCGCGTGGCCATCAGGACAAGAACATCCCGAACGAAAAGTATTGGCATTTCAGTTGGGACGAGATGGCCAAGTACGACATTGAGGCCATGGTGAACTATGTGCTCAATGTTACGAACCAAGAGAGTCTGTACTACATGGGACACTCGCAGGGGACGCTGACAATGTTCAGCAAATTGAGCTTCAACGATGGATTTGCGAGAAAGGTAGGGCGTTTTCTTGGTGCAATAATCCGGGGCGTTTTGCCGCGAGGCGGCAGTTGAATGTCTTTTTAGAGCGTTTACAATGTAAAAAAGAGATTTTCAGATCAAAAAGTTCTTTGCGATCGCTCCAGTGGGCACCATCAGCTACGTAAAGGGGTTGTTCCGGTATCTCGGCGAACGATCTTACGAGCAATTGGCTGTAAGTTAATCAGCGTAAATTTAGACGTCTGTCGGAAAAATAATGAGCACTCTGTCGCATCGAAAATCACATCGCCTTTGAGAAAATGTATCGTGGCAAAATCAAATTGCTTTTCACTTCAGCGACGCGATCGGCCCTCCGACATTATGCTCCTTATCAGTCTGTCGGAAAAATAACGGCGGATCGTCGCAGCAAAATGTCTCGCCTCGCCGCTATCGCGCACCAAATCCCAAGCCGCGGCTTGCAGTCGCAAAGCGATGATGGGCGATTCCGAGGCGCGACGATCCGCCGTTATTTTCCCGACAGACTGATATTATGCTCATTATTTTCCCGACAGACTGATAACCACGTTGATAACTTTTTTTCAGCTGTTCACTGCCTTATTCGGAGATCAGGAGTTCCTCCCGAACACCTTTCTCTCCCGATGGCTGACCGAATTTGTTTGTGGACTAGCCACTTCAAACCCCCTCTGCGAGAACTTTCTGTTTTTGGTGAGCGGACCGGACAGTCAACAGTTGAACAAGGTAAGAGTAGGAAGAAAGGGAAGAGTGTCAGTTAAAGATGAAAACAGCAAAAGATGACAACGTAACGGGAGCAAAGCAATGCAATAATTGGCACTGAAAGCTCTTGAAGTCCGAAAAAGTTTCCGATCCTTATACTAGGTGCTTCAGAAAGTGCGTGGACCTCTTTCGACCGTTTTTCGCACCGCACAGTGCATGTTACGCGACGCTATCTTTGAAACATTTCGCACTGTGCAATTTCTTTTCGCACGCTCGAAATTTGCGTCCTCTTCGTTGAGAAAAGCTTTCGCTGCGATATTGCACTTGCATGGATGCAAACAGTCAAATTCACGGCGCAAAAAGGGCTTTTGTGCACGGTGCGACCCACGGCAAAAAGTCTACACACTTCCTGGAACGACTAGAACTGCAAATAAATCGTGTTGCACAATGCCAAGAACCCCAAAACTGGCCTCTCAATTTTTCGTTTCAAGACAAAAAAAATTGTTTTGAAGGGACTGGGACTGAAACTTTCCATCTCGAAGCCTGCCCCGGCCTCAAAAAAATTAAAATTTCGACCGTGTAGAAACTTCGTATTTTACAAATTTCAGACCAGAATCGGGATCTACCTGGCGCACAATCCGGCAGGGACTTCCATTCGAAACATCTTGCATTACTGCCAAATGGTCCGGCATAAAAACCTCCTCGCTTATGACTATGGAATGGACGAAAACATGAAGCATTACGGCATGGTAATTTCTTTTCACTTCGACAAATATCCGTCTGTCGGGGAAAATAATAAGCACATTGTCGCTGCACCGATCATGTCGCTGAAGGAAAAAGCGATTTGACTTTGCCGCGACACAATTCATTTTCCCACCGGCGATGTGACTTCCGATGCGACAAGATGCTCATTATTTTCCCGACAGACTGATATATTTGTAAAATGCGGCGCTGAAACTTGTCAATGCAATTTCAGGTGGTTCCAATCGAATACGATCTCCGCCGAATTAGCGGCGTCCCCATCTACCTCTACTACAGTGGAAGTGATTGGTTGGCAACAGAGAAGGATGTGGAGGGATATTTGCTGCCAAAGCTGCGGAAAGATACCGTCGCGGAGGTAAACAAATTGCCCGACTTCAACCACAACGACTTCTTATGGGGATTAAGAGCGCCAGACGAAATTTATCGGCCTATTATCTCCATTATTCAAAAGGATCAGCCAATGAATGATCGTAAGTGTGCCAGAGATGAAATATCAGGCTTCGGGATATATTTCAGCCCCCAAAGCGACCACGGTCCGTTCCGTCATCAAGCCCGCCTCCGAGACCAACGAAGACTCGGACCTCCTCAACACGAAAGAGAACAACCCAGAACTTGTGGACAAAGCAGCGCCGGTAACCGAGAAGTTCGTTCTCGCCGCGGACGACGACTTATTGGCCAGCAGTGGGATGAAGAGCGGCGAAGATGCGGATTTGCTCAAGAACACTGGACGCGATCTCTAGACATTTGATCTCGGGTACTTGTAATTGCATGTTTTACTAGCCTTGTTTGACATCTAATTACTTATTGTAAATGTATTCCAAAAAAGCACTCTAATTGTCCATGACTTCCTCAATGTTTATGTGTAATAAACGTCAAGATACGGTAGCACTAGTCATTCACAGATGAACTAAATTTGCAGAAAAATTGAATTACCCTCATGATGGTCGTTGAACTTCCCGAAACGCAACGTCTTAACTGGATATCTGTCACTTTTCGTTGCAATCCGGCCCTCAGACGGCACTATTTTTGGTCCACGAATTGCCAAATGCCGCCTCTCACGGAAGGAGAGCAGGGCGGAAAAGGGGGATTCTGGTTATTCCTTTGCAAACTTGTCACACTTTTGATTAATATTGAATGCGAGGGAGGGAAACAACCGCGCGGCTATCAAGGTATGTGATTTTTCAAGCCAATATTATCAGTCCGCTGGGAAAATCATCCGGATTTGTCGCAGCAAAACGTCTCGCCTTGCTGCAGTTGCGAAAAAATCCCTGTCTTTTAAATGTGTTTGAACAGTGCTAACCATATCATTTATGGCATGTAGAGGCGTATGACAAGACTTGAAGGTTCCATGTAAAGTAGTTATGTCTTCTTGATATTGTCAGTCCGGCCCTTATTGAGAAGCAGCTCACACTGACTTGCGTGTGCAGACACATATTGGACAGAAGTCATCACTTGATGTGAGAGGTGTGCTCAACACAACTGGCATCACTATTGTGAGCTCCGAAACTTTGATTATTCTTTGGCGTTGTGTACATGCCCAATTCAATTTATTTCCGCTGATCATCTATCAAAAGTAGAGAAACGGGCCATGATTCGGGGCCAAGATGGGGATGTCACGTCGGTTCTCCAGTGTGCCAATCCTCAAGAAGGTCCTGCCACGGGTTGAGCTTCTGCCATCCTCCGGAGGGATTGTTGCCAGCAACGGCATCGTCGGCAGGAAGCCCAACTGCTCACCGCGGTGCGAACGGAAGGAATGTGTGTGTGTACATGCCCACCATTGGAAAATTAAAAAGGCTTTGAGGCTTGGGATCTTCGGTCGAAATTGACCATCCCTATTTAAACCACTCGGCTTGGTTGTCCCGTCTTTACCAGCAGAGAAAACCAACTCAATTCCCGGTAGAACATCGCCTCTCCAAGCGGCTTTCACTAATGACCTCACGTACGCTTCAAACACTTGCAGGGTCATTCCTATAAAACATAGGAGCTCTCTTATTTTCCAATTTGGATATTACACCGCAATGTCAGATTTGGTGATCTTCCAGTTTCCGAAGGGCATAAAGGGATGGCCATTTTCCTGTCATCTTCTTTTCAGAGATTCCACGCAAAGAATTTATAATAATTTTGATGTTGACCACTTTCAACACCTGTTTGTTTACATTTCCTGCAAATGCCCACTATTTCCGCCCCTTCTGAAGTCAACAGCAAGGATCTCTGAACTTTTAAAACCCAATTATCCCGCTTTTTTCGCTGTAACGCTCCCTTATTTCTGATTACCCCAAAAAGCAGCCTAACTGATCATTGAATTTGACTCAAGACGTTGGCATTTTCGCTAAAATACTCCTAGTTTTGAAACTTTTTCCGGACCTACTTGGCTGGAATGAAATTTTTTGTTCGGACGAATTTATGCGCCCTCCCTGAAACTTTGATTTCCGCTATTTTATTTTAATTAAACCCTTGCAGCGGGCTGCGTGGAGTGTCTCAAGGTTGGGCCGTATCACGTGCCGAACGTACTTTCCGTTTTGGGAAGTGGGTCTAGTAAATATTGACGTCCACTTGCGCTGGTGTTTATTCGGACGCCGCCTTGTACTAGGCGCGCCAAAATGCCCTGATAATCTGCACGCTTTGGCGCAGAAAAGTCGCGATTTTCGCAGCGCTGCGAAAACAGTGTACGCATGTTTGAAAAAGCGTAGTATTAGCCTGTCGGGGAAATAGTGGCGAGTTGTCGAAGAAAGGGGTGCAAAAGGGTATTAAATATAAAAAAGGGGTGCAAAAGGGTATTTTTCGCAGTGACAAATCAATTTCTCTTGGGGTAAAAATACAGATCATTCCCCGGTATAGGAATTTTGAAGAATCTTCAGAGGCGTTTGAAGAAAAATATGAGTTATTTTTTTTTTAAATTTCACTGTGTTTCGACCACTTTTTTCGCGAGTTTTGGCTTTTACGTTGAAAATTCAATGTCGTGGAGGCATAAAAAACAATATAAAAGCCTGTTGAGTAAAGATTTCGCCAGGTTTTACATTATCCATGACATCTCCAACCTAAATGCCCTTTTATTTACAAATTTCTTCCGACCAATCACCAGATATCGCCCATCCCAAAATCCACTTGTCCTAGGGAGATTTTTGGGACTTTCCTCCCTCGCAATTCCTCAATTTCTCAATCAAATCGTCCTCGCGGCCAATACTGGGAATTACGAAACCCCGAAAAACTTCTTCCAGAAGCTCAGTTTGGAAACTTCTCCAGAAAACCCTATTTTTCGGAGAAATATTTTTCAATTATTTTGGGGCTAAATTTATCTCAACTTCCCGAATTTGGAATACAATTTGGTTTTTTTTCTTTATCAGCTTAAAAGTTTTGTTTTCCATTCGCATTTTGTTTTGATGGGGTTTAAAAATATATATTTATTTTGCTGTAAAAGGGGTTGCAAAAATGCTGTTACTAGTTGCATGCAGACGCCCAAAGATCGAGCTCTCCAACCCGTGGTCCAAACTGTTTGCGTGGCGTTCTGCCTCGACTCTAATTACACAACAATTTACATGTCGCCTGGCGTTTCCTGGCCATTACCGTCATTTTATTGCTCCCTGAGGCGGTTTTCCATTCCGCTCGAACTTCTAAATTATTTATTTTGAGGTGGAAATAAAGGTCGAAGATCAAGGGTTAAAAAACGAGCTTTTCGGCTTTTCTGAAAGTTATTTTTCCACAAAAAATCAATTTTTCCGGACTGGCGAAGATATGGGTAAAGAGTTTTTTCTTTTTCTCTGGCCGCTCTCCGCGTTTTGCGTATTCTCTAGGCCGCAAAGACCATTGAATATCTCGACTACCTATGCAAATTTGGAGCTAAAATTTTAAGGAATTGAAATGTGGCCTATTCCCAAAATATATGCAAAAATTTAAGCGAAATATAAGGCAATTAATTTAAGTTTCAAAATATTTACCGAGACTCTTGACGTAAATCAAAAGTCGCATGAAAAACGGTCGCTGAAATTTATTCATCCCCAGGGCACTAGTATACTAAGAATTGAGCCGTTTGAAGGAAAAGGGCAAGGCTCTCCTGTGGAAGTGCAGCCATTCCGTCAAGTTTAAAGGTTTATGACTTTGACGTCGGGGAGAAATTTGCTTGCCGTTCTTCGTATGTTTCAGGCTATATGTAAGTATAATACTAAGTGGGCCAAAAAGTCTTGATAGGTCTGTCAGTGCTTTTTGACCGGCCGAGTAAAACGTCGCAGCATGCACGCGATTTGCTATATTCGCGATACATCGATACACAGAGTGGGGCATCTTTTTGTGGCCCGATTTGAATTGTCTATAACGTCTTTAGTTTTTGGCCAAATCTTAAAATTATTTTTTTCCCTGAATCCTCAGACAACCCCATTTTTTGGTACCAAATATGTTATACATAGGTATCTGTCATCTAGTTATTGGATTTATTCTTAGAGTTCCTTTTTTCGGTCGATCTTTTGGTCGCAAAAAATTTTTGAGCTAAGATGAAATGCCAACCTATTTTTTCATTGATTAGCGCTGTTTTACGGGAGTTATAAGCCTTCTGTCTTTGCAGATTTCATGAGAAAAGAAAAAGTGATTTTTCGATACTACTTCTTTGCCTAGCCCTCCTCATTTTGTGCGCAATCTCACGCGAAAAAGCCCGTTGAAAATCTCGGCGACCGCTGTATGGTCTTTACGAAAACTCTCAGGCCCAGAGTACAAATAGTCCGTTCGTTGGATCAGTTTGTCGGGAAAATAATGAGCACTCTGTCGTATCCAAAGTCGAATTGCTGAAATGAGATAAATACAATGTGGTTTTATCGCCACGCAATTTCTTTTCGTGATGCGATTTTCGATGCGACAGAGTGCTCATTATTTTCCCAACAGACTGACACCGGCCTGTCGGGAAAATAATGTGGATTTTTTCTCACGGAAATTGCATCATCGCTTTGCGACAACTAGTTGGAGATTTTGCGACTGCGACTATGCATTTCGTTGCAACAAATCCATATTATTTCTCATTATTTTTCCAACAGACTGATAAATAAAAATGTGCCAAAAAACTTCCAAAACAATCTTTCAGGAAAACTTTTTTGCGTACGTATAGGTATCTCTTTTTATTTAGACCGTATTCAATCGCAACCACGTGAGATTGCGTTGACAAGTTTTCAGCGGCCGGTTTTGCCAATGTACCAGTCTATTGGGAAAATAATGAACTCTCCGTCGCATTCAAGCTTAAATCTACTTGATTTTGCCGCCACTCAATTCACTTTTCACGCGGCGATGCGATTTTCGATTCGACAGAATGATCATTATTTTCCCGACATACTAATGCTGAAATACCGATTTCTGAACTTCTGCCTTTGCTCTACTAACATAAATAGTTTTTTTTCATCCTTTTCCCAACCCCCATTCTTCGCCTCTTCAACTTTTCTTTGGAGTCTGCCTTCGACTTCCCCCCGTGCCCATTTTACTGTAACAGGTTTCACGGAAGCGACTTTTGGGACTTCAGAAGGCGTCTTCGGCGCCAATTCCCGACTAATCGAAGTGCACCTGGGCCCGCGGCGCTTGAAAATAATTGGCCCGGAGAGGCGGACTTTGGCCACATCCGACCAGGAAATGGGACGTGTTTCAAGCGGCGAAATTAACTCGAGAAACCCGCACTAAAAATGGTAATATTTGGTGGGTTATGGATTAGCGGTAACCCTATTTTCGGCCGCCTGACTCTTGAATAAGCAATTTTTACACTACACATCCGTTGAAGGGCCGTTTCTTTTTGTCCAACGAAAGGGGGGCGTTGAGACAAAATTGGAGTTATTAAAAACTCCAACGGGAAATTTAAACGCTATCCCGGCTAGCATCCGGAAGAATGCGAAAGTTTGGGATGAAATGGCTTGCTGCACACGGCGTGGCTCTTTTTTATTTTTACTTTTTTTTTATACTAAACTCCTTCAAAAGTGCGTAGACTTTTTGTCGCAAGGTTTCCGCACTGTGCAGTTGACCTTTTGCCCCGTGTAAATGAGAAATCGTAGCAAGGTTTTTCAACTGCGTCGCTGCGAAAAAAAGTCTACCTACTTGATGGAACGATTATGTACGTAGTATCGGTCTGTCGGGAAAATAATATGGAATTGTCGCTACGAAGATGTTTAGCCTCGTATATATACTACAATTCATTTTCTTGGCGGCGATGCGATTTTTCGTTGCGACAGAGTGCTCGTTATTTTCCCGACAGACTGAAACATGTATAGATTTTTTCATTAAGCACATGGACATGTCAGTCGGTCGTGAAATAATGTGGATTTTTCGGAGTAAAAAATCTCATAGTCGCGCGCCAAATCCCAAATTACGGCTAGCCGTGGCAAAGCGATGATGGGCGATTCCATGGCGCGACGAATCCACATTATTTTCCCGACAGACTATTAATAGTCATGCCATAAATTCCGTACAATTTTTTTCCGCAGTTTTAGCCCCTTTTTTAAGAGTCTGTCGGGGAAATAATGTGGATTTACCACGCCTTGAAATAGTTTTTTTTTGTGTTATCGCGTTGCAACGGCTTGTTGGTGATTTCGTGCGCGACTGCGGCAAGTCGAGACATTTTGCTGCAACAAATCCACGTTATTTTCCCGACAAACTGATATAGTATTCTCACGGCAAAAAGTCGATGGAATTTTCATGGCCCTCAGATTCTGTCGCACTCCGAAAAAAATGATTTGTCGCTGCGAAAAATGGAAATCCCGAGCGAAATAAAAAAAAAAACAAAATTGCACTGTGCAAACCCAATTTTTGGTTCCGATGCACGGTGCGAAACGTTTTTTTCGAATTATCGCACAAACTGCACTGTGCGGAGTCGAGAAAATTCCAAGGACTTATTTGCCGCGAGTCTCATATTTTGTCGGGAAAATAATAAACTCTGTTGCATCGAAAATCACATTGTTGCGGAGAACATGAATTGTATCGCGACGAAATCAAATTGCTTTTCACTTC